ACGGGTAATTAGGTATTGGCGTTACCACACCCAGTTCGAGATGCACAAAATGTTTTGTCCTTTTTGGAGGCAAAGCGTCTCATTGGCTGCAGTTTGTTCTCAGCGATCTGCCTCAGTTCGGCCCCGTTGCTTCCTTACGACGTGACTGGTTTTATCCCCAAAAAAACAGTCGAAAAAAAACAGCAATGCAAAGCAGATAATTCGCCCTGAAAAGAAGTAGACGGAGCGGATTGGGGCCGAGCGATCCGTCACGAAAGCCCTGTGAGAAAACCTCGCTGACAGCCGTGCGACGAGGATCTGCCTCACTTATCATTGTGTCTTTATCTCGTCTCTCTGAGGGGGTAAAAGGGGAACAGATAAATGAGGGGGCTGCAGGTTTGGAGCAAATTACCGATGCTTATTTATTCAGCGGTGTGGCTTCACAGAGCCACCGACCCCCCCCCCCCCCCCCCCCGAGTCTTCTCACGGGGCGCCAACGGGCGCCAAACCGGAGAGAAAAGGAAAGAAAGACAAAAGAGAATTAAAGAAGGGGGAGAAAAAAGGCCGTGTTTTCCCAAGAAGTTGTAAAAAGGGGGATGAGAGGAAGCGGGGGGACGAGGTCGAGAGACGGCAAGAGAGGAGACACCTGAACACAAAGGCGAAGGAAAAGAGTTGTTCAAGGGGGGAAAGCGAGAGTTAACTTGAGCCTCGGAGGGGGGATGAGAAGAGAGAGACTATGGGGAGGGGTGGAGTGGGTGGAGTGGGTGGAGGGGCTCGATGGAGAGGAGGGGCTGGCGGAGCGTCCTCCCAGAGGGGAGAGGAAGATGGGGAGGCGAGTGCGCACCCCCCCCCCCCCCTCCCCTCCCCTCCACCCCCCCGCAGAGATCTCAACAGGGGGTCGGCTTTTTGTTTTGGAGAGAAGAAGAAAAAAGAAAAGAAAACCTCCTCAGCACCCTCGAGAGAAACATGATGACACCAGAGGCTCGTTCTCTGCGTGTTTCATGGGGAACCAGCTTTGTTCAGAGAGACGGGGGGGGGGGGGTTCTTCTAATTCCCCCCCCACGCTCCCCCCGGTCTAACACACCCCGCCCAGAAGATTTAACACACTTTCACTCAGGCAAAAACATAGACGTGCAGTCTGTCGGTGTTAAAAACAGAGACATGAGAAGAGAAAGTGTGTTTCTATCCACCTGACATTTAAAAATAATACACATTGCACAAAAGTTCCAAGGAGAAGAAAATAAATTCTAAAAAGGTTTTTCAAATACCAAAAGTTGGTGTTTCAAAAAAAGAAAAGAAATGCGACGGCTGAGCCACGTGCTAGCAGCTAGCGGCGCGTACCTGCGGGGGAACGACAGGGTGGAGGCTGCACTGGTTGCCGGTTTGGGGGCGGCGTGATGATCTGTAACCGCTCACGTGCACTAAAAGGAACGCGTGCACGTGAACCGACTGCGCACGTGAACTTTGAGGCAGAACGGAGAAACTCGAGATGTTACTCGTTACTTGTCTGTTACTTGTTCGTTGGTGCACTTTATGCTTAATATTTTTCTTTTTAACTTTTTTATTATTTAAAATGTTTAACTTTATTCCTTGTTTTTTACTAACCCATAGCCTTATTCTACTAACCCATTGCATTAGCATTTCATTTTACTTTATTTTATTACTTGTGCACTGTTGTCTTGTCTGTCTACTGTCGCGCACTAACCGCCAAGACAAATTCCTTGTATGTTTGGCATATTTTGGCAAATAAATGTTTCCTGTTTCCTGACAAACGCAGAGACAAAGTAGAAATTGTCAGGAAAGTATTTTAGAAAATTGGGGGATATTTGCTAATGTCTCTTGTATGATGAAATGACTTGTTGGTAGATGGGGTGTAATATGAGGCTAAAGTCCTCGTTTTCATCATGGAGGGTGTTTGCAGGTGGCTCACATCCCAACATCTGGATGGGAAGCCGTTAAATGACGGTGTGCATTTCCGACTCCAGGTCGTGTTTTTTTTTTTTATTTCAAACGCGCTGCAAGTTCCTCGGGAGGCCGCGCGTTAAATGAACATGCACAACCCGCCTGCTCGGCCTCCCGAGGAGCAGTTTAATGCGGATCCGGAGCCGATTAGCCGGCTAGAGCTGAGTTCTGTAATCGCTATGATTGGCTTAAAGAGAACTGAGTAGGGGTCTCTTCAAGGTTAAACTGCCGGCTGTCGTTTCGTATTAACAGTCCGCGTTCGCTCATGTGCTCGGCTTTCGTCTCTCGAACAAGTCCAGGTATCGATT